TTCGATTAATGGTTAAGCTGAACTGGGACGCACTCGTGACAAACTTTGCTCGGCAAATATGGCTACACTCGCTGCGCAGTTTGTCGTTACACCAGAAAGTGACACTCTTGAACACCTTCCTGTCGTCGAAAATGTGGTATATGGCGGCAAATTTACACCCGACGGCAGCACACGTGGCGAAACTGACAACCAACATGCGGAAATATCTTTTCCGTGGAATATGTGCATCCGTACCCATGCAGCAGCTGGCACGCAGACGGGAGGATGGTGGCCTCAACCTACATCTTCCAGCAATGAAATGCAAGGCGCTGCTCATCAATCGGCATTTACACGAGATCGTTTCCCTTCCTTATTACAATTCCCTTCTCATCCAAGTAAATCCACCACAACCAAATTCCCTTACAGATCTTCCCTGCCTAAAGCTAATCCTAAACAATTATTCAAACTTCCCTTTTCAAATACGCCAACACCCTTCCGCCGATCTCATCCATCGCTTCTTCGTAGAACGCACCGACAAACCGAAAGTGGAAACAACAAACCCCGAGATCAACTGGCCCCGAGTGTGGAAAAATATCGCTGCCCGTGGTCTGCTACCTACGCAGCGCAGCTATCTATACTTGTGGGTAAACCAAAAAATCTCTCACCGACGGCTGCTGTTTACGATAAGGCGTGCGGATGGTGAACAATGCATACACTGTGCTGTGCAAACCGTTGAAACCATTCAACACAAATTTTTTGGCTGCCCTAGAGTACGGGCTGCTTACGATGTACTTCAACAAAGGCTGTTGGTTGTGACTGGCAGTCGACGCTCTCTTCGTTTCGATGATCTCCTTCGGCCCTCACTGGAGGGGATTGCAGCGTATAACAGAACACGGATATTGAAATTGTTATTTGTTTATATCACCTTCATTGATAACAGTAATGGCAGGATAGATATTGATGCATTAAAATTTAATTTTGAAGTCGAGGTTTATTAATTATGTGAATAATTTTTACTAAACATACAAACGACAAATAAACGTACTTTTATAAAAAAAAATGTTTTGTAGTACTATCTTAAATCTTCAATTATGAACAGCTTACCTTATCATAAAATATTTAACTAATTATTATATGGTTCAACATTGTGTTTCTTTTTTAATCTTATATAGTATTTTTTGTCCAATACTTTATAAACAATTTCAGGCCATTCGTGACTTTTATGGGATGTGATACAATTTCTCTTTCACGTCGTGAGACGTACATTAGTAGCACACCTAAAATAAGTTGCTGCAGCTTGATTGTGACTAGAATAAGTTGCACACAAGTGGCCGCAATTGTTCAGTGAGAAATGTGCTGCTGGGGTAGTGACCATATAATATAACACATAACATTATATGCATCTATTTATTATTCAGGTTATTTCTCGTCATGCATGGCAACTCCTCGAACTCAGATTATGCCGTATAGATGCTCATTCATCGTGAGCTAGTTCATCCCTCACATATAAAGAGCAATTATGTCAAATCCAAAGAAGGTAAAAGAGCTCGAGCTCATATTGATGCTCAAGCTGGTTTTCCACAAACACGCATCACGATGAGTGATGCAGGGTTCGTTCTTGAGTGAGGCGGGATTTGCATCGGCTTTTTTTTTTTTTTTCCTTTGGTTTGTTTTTTCCGTGCTGAGCACCAATGCTACCGACGTGCCAGGAAGGCAGCTCCCACACCTGGACCCTACCTATCGACCCATCAACTCATGAACCGGGGACCAACTGCTTTACTTCCCATCCGAAGGAAGGCGTGATCAGAGATGTTATGCCTCAGAACATCCCGGCGGCGCCGACTGGGATTGAACCCAGGCCTACTGGGGTGAGAGGTAATCACGCTTACCACTACACCACCGGCGCCGTTGCATCGGCTTTGCTCACCAAACAAAAGTTTGAACTTTGGGATGGACTCGGTGAAACCATAAATATAGAGCTTCGTTGTGCATTCGGAGAGAGTACGCACGGCCTTTGATTGATGCACGGTTGTTACATTGAATATTATGATACACAACAATACATTCAATAGAATTCGTAACGCGGCATCGTAAGTCAACGAGGACAAGGAGTACTATAACAAGTGGATTTTCACTTTCGCGCGTAACGTTTGTCCCGATTCGGTTCCGGTTCGATGCAACACTCGCGATCCGCCGCTGGAAAAGGATAACATGGACTCCCCGTTTTCGATGGTAGAATTCTCAATTGCTCTTCTTTCATGCAATAACTCGGCTTCGGGAATGGATCGAATCAAGTTCAACCTGCTCAAGAACCTCCCAGACGTCACAAAGAGGCGATTGTTGAACTTGTTCAATCGATTCCTGGAGCTCAACGTTGTTCCGGATGATTGGAGACAAGTGAGAGTTATCGCCATCCAGAAGCCCGGTAAACCCGCGTCGGATCATAATTCGTACCGTCCCATCGCGATGCTGTCGTGTATTCGGAAGCTGTTAGAAAAAATGATTCTTCTTCGTCTGGACAAGTGGGTCGAGGCGAATGGCTTACTCTCAGATACGCAATTTGGACTCCGTAGGGGCAAAGGGACGAACGAACGACCGCCTTCCGTTGCTTTCAACTGAAATCCAATTAGCCTATGCTGAAAAACAGCAGATGGGTTCAGTTACCTTGGACATTAAAGGGGCGTTTGATTCTGTTTGCATCGACATCCTTTCGAACAAGCTCCATGCGAGTGGACTTTCTCCGATTATCAACAATTTCCTGTCAAAGACATTGATGATTGTCTGGCCGAAACTTGCACGCTAAGGCAGCTTGCAGATGACGGCGTGGTTTCCGTGGTTGGACCAACAGCACCAGACTTGCAAGGACCATTGCAAGATACCTAGGATAATTTGTCTACTTGGGCAATGAATTTGGGTATCGAATTCTCTCCGGAGAAAACAGAGATGGTTGTTTTTTCTAGGAAGCTTTATCCAGCACAGTTTCAACTTATGGGTAGAACAATCACTCACAGCATGTCGTTTAAGTATTTAGGTGTCTGGTTCGATTCCAAGTGCACTTGGGGAAAACACATAGCGTATCTGAGGCAGAGATGCCAACAGCGAATCAATTTCCTTCGTTCCATTGCCGGCACTTCATGGGGAGCCCATCCGGAAGATCTGATAAGACTCTACAAGACCACCATTCTCTCGATTTTGGAGTACGGTAGCTTTTGCTTTCAATCAGCGTCGGGGACGCACATATTGAAGCTCCAAAGGATTCAATATCGTTGCATTCGAATCGCGCTAGGTTGTATGTGATCGACGCATACCATGAGTCTTGAAGTTCTTGCGGGTGTCCTCCCCGTTCCGGTTCCTCATCCACTTCAAAGTCATGAACCCGCTGGTGATAGAAAACTTTGAGAATTTGCTAGAGCGGAATCCTCAAACACGATTCATGAGCTTGTACTACGAGTACATGACTCTGGACATCGGCCCCTCTTCGTTCAACCCCAATCGCGCTGTCTCCCATCATTTCAGTTGTTCTTCCGTGAGATTCGATCTCACAATGAAGCAGGAGATTCAAGGAATTCCAGAGCCTCACCGTTCCCTGATTATCCCAACTATTGTTGCGAATAAATACCACCACGTCCCCACCGAGAAGAGATTTTTCACAGATGGGTCGGTGATAAATGCGTCCACTGGTTTTGGAGTATTCCACGATCTTCATAGCGCCTCATACAAGCTTCAAAAGCCGTGTTCGGTATGCGTTGCTGAACTAGCAGCTATATCGTACACGTTAGAGCGTATTGCCTCACTTCCACCTGACCATTATTTCATTTTTACGGATAGCCTAAGCTCCCTGGAGGCTATGCGTTCAATGAGGCCGATGAAGCACTCGGCGTATTTCCTCCAGGAAACACGATCGTCATTGAGTGCTTTATCAAACAGCTCGCATATCATCACCTTGGTATGGGCCCCTTCTCATTGCTCTATCCCGGGCAATGATAAAGCGGACTCGCTGGCCAAGGTGGGCGCTATGGAAGGCGATATTTACGAGCGACAAATCGCCTACCACGAATTTTTCACGATTTCTCGTCAGCAAGTCCTGGCCAACTGGCAACAAAAGTGGAATGATGATCTGGGAAGATGGCTACATTCTTTTGTCCCACAGGTGTCGATCAAACCCTGGTTCAAAGGGTTGGATATGAGTCGTGATTTTATTCGTGTAATGTCCAGGCTCATGTCCAATCACTGTTCGTTAAACGCCCACCTCTTCCGTATTACGCTTGCCGACAGCAACTTGTGCACCTGTGGAAATGGTTATCACGACATCGAGCATGTTGTTTGGTCCTACTCCTTGCATCATGAGGCGAGATGCGTTCTATGTGATTTCCTTAGAACGTTAATTTTGAGAGATTGATTTTTTTTTATCTTGGGGACCATTTTTTGGGTTACACTAAAAAATGCCCTAATTACTCCATTTATGGATTATCCCTTGGTGTTGTTTTCGTATTCTCCTGTTGCCTTTTAACATGTTCATTCTCGCGCAACACGAGAAAAGGGCCTACCATGGTTGATCGATTCTCTTCATCGATTTTCTCTTTCGCGAATAACTCGACTGCAAATGAATTTCCCATTCATTTTATTGTTTTACACGAAAGCTAACCTCATCTTCTGTCGAAATGTGCTAGGATCTTAGTGAGAAATTCGTTTATGCTGCCGTGGTAAACCAAAGAGAAAGCCGATGAATAGAATCGATTAACGAGGATAGGCCCATTTCAAATGCTACGGGAGCATTCATTCAATTCGCTACCCTCGCTGCACACACGGAAGCTTGGAAATCGTTCTGGACCAATAAATTGAAATAGGCGGAACAACCCAACGTAAGCAATGGCTTTAAGCCATTGTTTAACCTTCAGTTGGTTGCACGATGTGGCAGAAACGCAAATCAAATTTTGATACGGCTCTGTTCTTGAGCAAGTTAGGAGATTCAGCAGATGGTGAATTAAAGTGTAAATTTTGTGAGAGAGCAATTTAAAACGATGCACAACTTCAATTTGAAAAGACATGTGGTTGGTCAGCACCCTGAAGTGGCGGTCAAGAATGGACTGTTGAACGATAATGATGAGGTTGGCGATTCGCCTCCGAAAAAGCTCCAGAAAATCCTAGTAGAAATGGACAACAATCAATACGTGACAAATTTTGTAAGATGGGCTACAGAATGCATTCTCCCGTTGATTTTTTTTTTACGTAGGACTACGTCTTTGATTTCTATATGGGGGTACACTTTGTGAAAACCGAAAATGGAACATGTAACAAATTAAGAAAGATTTTGAACGTTAATAACTCAGTTTCCCCTAGTCCAATTTCAATAATTTTATCACCAATCGATTAGAAATATGGCTACACATTGATCCGAATGTTGATTCTCAACAAAAAACTATTGAAAAACTGGTAAATGTTTAGCATTGTCCAAAAGCGTCGAATTAACTAACAAATCCACCAATTACCTACATACATATGCTGCTTCCCCAGCACAGTCGTCAGAGAGTATTAAGAAGACGAAACAAGTCGAAGTGGCATTCGCCTCCGATCCTCGGGCGCGTGCGAATAGGGAGGATGGAATTGCGTAATATTTTACACACTCATCGCCATGTTCAGAACCAAACGCAAATTCTTCGAGATAACCACCATCCGTCGTCTGGCTCGCCGTGGCGGTGTCTGACGTATCTCCGGTTTGATTTACGAGGTGTGCTGAAGGTGTTTCTGAAAAATGAGATCTGTGATGCTGTCACCTACACTAAACACGCCAAGCGTAAGCGGCCATGGATGTCATCTACGTTTTGAAGTGACAGAGACGCACTCTGTTTGGTTTCGGAGGTTAAATCATCACCAACTTTGGCAACAAAACGGCTCTTTTCAGGGTCATCAAGCTTATTACAGTAAAGAGTAGCAATATAATTCATCTGCCTATTTGTCCATATTCAGAACCAACGACCACACAAAATGCTCTGTAATCAAACTGGAAGCAGGGGTACAAATTATTTTGGTCAACCTTGATCAACTTTGAATCGTTACGGCCGAATATTTTCGATGGAAGAAGCAACAATCTAGCATCTAATTCGACGAAGACGGCAGGAAACATTTATGAAGCCAAGTTATTTACGAAAGAGAGTGTCGATGAAGAGAATCGATCAATGTAGATAGGACCTATTGAAAAGTGACGCGAGATTTGTTTTCCGTACTGAGCTCCAATGCTACCGACGCCAGGGAGGCAGCTCCCACACCTGGACCCTACCAATCGACCCATCAACTCAACCGGGGACCAACGGTTTTACTTCCCGAAGGAAGGCGTGATCAGAGATGTTACGCCTTAGAACATGTCGGTGGCGCCAACTGAGATTGGGCCTAGGCCTGCTGGGGTGAGAGGTAATCCCGCTCACCACCGGCACCGATATCTTTCAAGGTGATATCACGGCGAATGAGAACGACCCAAATTTGAATTTAGTTATCTCAGAAATAAGAAATAAAGTGCAGGAACTCAGCGATGAGTAAATTTGCCTCATGTTTTCCCAGGTTTTTCCAAGATTTTCCAGGGAAAAATTCCCAATTTGAGAAAAGTAAAGATTGGTCAGCAATAGCAGCAGTAGGAAGGTGGTGGCTAGTCCACTCTTCTATAACCCAACAAGCAACAATTGACTGGTCGTGGCAAAGGAGCTGCCAATCGTATCGCAAATTCTTCGAGATAACCACCATCCGTCGTCTGGCTCGCCGTGGCAGTGTCTGACGTATCTCCGGTCTGATCTACGAGGTGTGCTGAAGGTGTTCGTGGAAAATGAGGTCCGTGATGCTGTCACCTACACTAAACACGCCAAGCGTAAGTGGCCATGGATGTCCTCTTCAAGCTTACATCAGTAAAGAGTTGGAATAGAATTTATCTATGCTTGTTTGTCCATATTCAGAACCACAAGCCCCCAACGACCACACAAACTTGGAAGCAGGGGTGCAAGTGATTTTGATTGATTCTCGTAATCAACTTTCTTTTTGAAAAAAGATTACTACAAATTTGGATCGCCTACAATTCAACACCGGAAAGAGTTGAGATAATAGATATTTCAGGCATAACCATTGCGTGGGCGTACTTTAGTTCGCGTGTAAGAGCCTTAGAATGTTTGTTTACAAATGCTTTTGTGCCGTTATCAAATGTTATGCCTGATTTGATCAATTAAAAGAACTTAATGCTCTTCATATTTATTCCGTCCACTAGCGGTCCTACGTCAAGCTTCCGTTCGGGCCCCTAGGCATAGACCCTTCTACTTTTTTTCTTCAAAAGAATGTGTTCGAAGTGTGTTGGGGCCCATGGAAGATGCTCTAACAATCAAACGAGTCACACGCTCTAACATGACCTCGTACATGGACGCCGTAGTAAAAAAGGAGGATCACTTAAAGCAGGAAATCCAAGGAAAGTTGGTGTGCATCAGAGCTGATTTGGCGTCAAGGAAAGGGCGATTAGTGCTTGGAATAAATCAGGCATAACATTTGATAACGGCACAAAATCATTTGTAAACAAACTTTCAAAGGCCCTTTACACGCGAACCAAAGTACGCCCACGCAAACCAATACCTCTTTCGGAAAGGTGATAGTTGCCCCTATCCGATGATGTTGTTGGTTTGCGTGAGCGTACTTTGGTTCGCGTGTAAAGGGCCTTAGAAAGTTTGTTTACAAATGCTTTTGTGCCGTTATCAAATGTTATGCCTGAAATGTTCAGTTTGTTCGAAAAGGAAATGTTATAGTGACAGCCCTTGGAATGATCTAAAGAAATGACAGAAATACTGGACAGCGATTAGCATAAGAAGTTCTGGCACTAATTGAACGTTTTTCCATCGCAATTCCGAACATTTATTCGTTTACGACCGATAATGGCTCCAACTTCGTCAAAGATGGATACATTCTCCGTGCTGAGCAGGAACTATTTCTGTCCCCTGTGGAAAACGAAGCCGCTCCATAAGATTTGAATGCTTTTGTTGATGCCGAGGCCGTTGAGGGTGAAGTGAACCATTCTATGACAGGAAGGTAAATTTTAAACATAAGATAGAATTGGTGTCGAAATTTCTAGTGATCTTGTGATCATATTATATCCATCATATTTCCCCTATATTTGGTGTAGATTTTAGATAAGTTCTAAGAGAACATGAATTGAACAGATTCTCCATTTCAATCTCTCCCCGTTCCCGATTCCCGGATTTTCAAAACTGCCGAAAGCCTACGAAAACTCAAAAAAAAAGAAAAGATTTTTTTTTCTAATTTAAATCAATGTTAATTGAAACGTTATTAAATGAACTCAAACATAGATAGTATAATATCACGCGTTCATCGATTAACATTTTAATCTATTAATTCTATCTCCGACTCTATGTATGCATTCCCGGCATAGTTTTCAACACAAGAGATGATCCGCTATACGAGACAGTTGAAATGCCGAAATCGTGGTTCAGTTTACAAACACGGGAGTTATTATGCTTTGCCTAAAATAGAAGCGTTTGCCGAGAATATTGTCAGTTACCCTACGAATACAATTGCCACATGGATATATGCATACGTTCCATAATGTTTTTTTTTCATTTCTTGGTTGTGCACTTTTTTCTCGAATACAATACAAAATCACTCATTCGGTAGTATGAAGCTTGAATAGAAGTTGAAAATGAGCGAAGGGCCATTAATGCGACAGTACAAGTCAAACGCACACTTCTTTACCTAACTCATGCATGAATGGATGAGGAGACTTGAAGTATTTCTTCAAACCACCAGGCAAAAATCATCATTACACTAAAGCTTCATGTTAGATAGCATTTCCAATCAACTCTGGAAACCGGCTTGCAATTGCTCATTACAGCTAAAATACTATTTTTCGTTATTATGAAACAATGGGATACTATAATGATAATTTTTATTTGTAAGATGCAAGAAGAGGTGGTAAAGATTGTATATGACGTATACAATTTGTCAATTTTGCTTTCAGAAGGTCACAACTAATCGATAGTTGTGACCTTCTGAAAGCAAAATTGACATGTTTTATGTGTCATACACACACTTTACCTTCTGTTCTTGTTTTATTAGAATTATCATTAAAATATTGTAATATTAGAATTATCATTAAAATATTTCATAGCTTCATAAATCCGAAAAATAGCATTTTAGCTGTAATGAGCATTTGCAAGCTTGTCTGGAAATCGTAAACTTTACGTATGAAAAAACATAAAAACACTTTGAATGTAACAACTCAAGGCGGTAGTAACCGTCAATAATGCTGATGATGGTACAGCACGCACAACCACCCTACTGCTTTCGCTCTGAGATGACTACGTTTATCGTGACGAGAGGAGCAACACAATAGTTGGGTAAAGAAGAATTCAAGCGTAACTATTCAAATCGACGTATCTGTTTTTGTAAACAATCACTTCAAGCGACGGTTTGTCTTAACTGCTAACTTATCCACGCCAACAAACACCATCATCAGATAGGGGAATCTTTCCCCTACTAGCTGGTGTTGATAGTTTCTGTGAGTGAGCTAGCAGTTGCCACAAATCGTCCTTTGAAGTGATTGTTTACAAAATGAGATACGTCGATTTGAATAGTTACGCTTGAATTGCATTATAACACACCGTCTACTGGAAATGCTTTTGGCCACGTGGGGCTTTAGGTAGTGATGAAACGCCCGTTTCAAATGTTACGCGAGCATTATTCATGTGTTTATATTTAGTAAACAGGCCCCTGCTGTTGCGTCAAATATTTTTCGGTAGATGAACAAAAATTCACCCATGCAGTGGTAGCAATGATATTTGGCCTTTTTTATGAAGTTGTTTTGATTTTTTTGGTATGTATACCAAATCATCAGTCATATCCCATCTTCACAGCTATTTGTTATTACATGAACAGAAATATAACTGTTCAGGATCAAAAACGCACACAAGAGCGAGGGATGTCCGAAAGGTAGTTGATACCAAATAGCTGAGCCAACCTAATAGAATAACCTCGGTGTACTGTACCATTTTCGCATCTCAACTATTGATTTATGAGTTTGACAGCTGTTCCACCACAAACCCAGTTCATTACTCATCGAATACATAATTCATCCACAAGTAATGAACTTCCTCCTCCGGATCCCGCCGTCGACAGACGCCCTGATCGCTCCACATCCTTCCGCATCCACCTATCAGCAGGCGGTAACCCAGTGGTAACAAGGAATTAATATAACGAGCAGAAATTTATTTTACTATAACTTATGAGAAAACTAATTTCCGAAAAACTTTCCCCATTTATTATCACCTCGCGCGATTTTCCACCAAAAGACCGACCGACCGACCGCCCGCTTCCGAGCGAGCGCCATAATACACACTCACACAAAAACCCGGCTTTGAGAGCTGATTTTCACCCCATCTGCTTCCGCTAGGAGCACTTTTTCACCTGCCATCTTCATCTTGCTGCCTGCCAAAGCATTTATTTGTCGAACTCCTGGGGCTTCGAAAAGCTACCGGTCGTCGGTCGGTAGGCCCGGGGTATGGCGTTGAAAGGTGCTCAAAAGCTGTAACACTTCAAAAATTTAAACTCTTTCCCTGGTTACAACGGGGGAAGGTTCAGGAAAAGGTGAGCAAAATGAGTGTTGATAAGTTTGAGCATTTCTCACCGTCCGTCGTTGGCACATAGGGTATCGAAGCGGTCGGTTGCAGGAGATCCGGGGCATTCATTTTTCATTCTCGGATTGGGGCTTCTTCTCCAACACAAAACTAAGGATGGTTTTGTCCGCCCAGACATAAGTCTCAGATTTTCGCTGAGCACCAGCTTCTAGCATTGCCGGCATTGATAAATGTTTAAAAATTTAAGTTTTCCTCCGGATCGAAATGGGAGATCCTTTTATTTGGGAGGTGAAAATAAAACTGTTTCTCGCATGGCATAAATGTTGCTGAGCTGGCAGAGGGGAAGGTTGGCGTGCTCTTAATGAACAGACGGGTCCTGCTTTGTGTCAAGGGGGATAGATTGAAGAAGACTTGGGAAACAGGAGTTATAAATCGTTTTGACTGTCGTCGTTTTGCACATCGGTTTTGAAAGGAGGGGGGGGGGGGGTTAGCCAGGGCACGTTCTGAAATTTGTATGTTAAGCATTTAAAATTCGATGCCGGGTCGTGTTACGCAGCGTTTGTTCTGTGCGAAAATGGCCGATAGTAATCCTTATAACTCACAGGATTGTTCGGTTTTTAAATTTGGGGATTGAAGTTGATGAATTTGCTATGAGCCACGAGCATAGCTTTGTCATAAAGTAATGATTTTATAAGCTTCTATCTTTTCAATAGATTTTAACGACTCTTTAAATGAATTTGAATGTTGAAGAATCATTTCACCTTTTCAACTAATAACTTCTATTATTTCTCTTTCATCTACAGTCATCATTCTCTGATTGAGACACAATCTTATCCCATCTACCGAATGTCATACGATAGTTTGGACGGTTTTGAAGCTGTAAAAGTGTAGTTTTTTATTTAAAAAAAACCGTTCAATCATTTCTAAGTATCACCAATCAAAATTCAAGGCTAGTTTGAAACGATTTTTTCGACAGATTAACTACTTTGTAGTTAGGACTTTATCCAACTAATGAACTAGCAACTAAAAACATCTCAAACAGATAGCCCCTAACAAGCACATGGTGAATGTATAAGTCTTTTCAGAAAAAAAAACCAAGTTTAACATGCCGTACTGTTGAGTTAAGTGAAAACAACCCATAAGTACATATGTACATTGCTTAAATGTATCGAGTTACAACTACACACAGCTGTTTAACTAAAAAATAACTTCCTGCATGCAAACTTAAGGTTAGAGAAATTGAGCACAACCTGATGATAAAGTTAGTTTACCGTATGCGTGATAATGTTTGCACCATCGAACAAAAAAGGTTCCCGTTTCACCTGTGCATACAATGCCTTGGTTTTCTTTGCATGCACGTAACCTATAGCTCATACCGTAGTAGGCTGTGTATAAAAGAAAATGATTTACTTAGTTTGACAGTTGCACCATGACGAAGTGGCAGCGTATTCGTGATTTGTCCCACGCACAAATGTTGCAAAAAGACATTTCAATGGCCGTGTGAGTGTTCCGGTGGACCATCAAAAGAGTTTTAGACAGAGAAAAGAAAGGATAACTATCAGCGAAGGTGGCCACAGGTCGTCCGAGGTCAGCTCGGGTTCCGAGGGTGCTATCAAAAAGAAGATCCGGGTGAATCCAATGCGTTAAATAAGGAAAATGGCAAAGGAACACGGGATCAGTGACTTTACGGCACGGAAGATCGTAAAGGAAAATTGCGGGGCGAAGTCGAGGGCACGAAAGAAAAACTCACATGATTACCAACCGCATCCGGGAGCTACGAGTCGAACGATGCAAGAAAATCTTCACCCCAGCAGGCCTGGGTTCAATCCCAGTCGGCGCCGCCGGGATGTTCTGAGGCATAACATCTCTGATCACGCCTTCCTTCGGATGGGAAGTAAAGCC